GGCACCGATTCCTGTTAGCCGCAGAATATGAAGCGCAGCTACAGAATCGCTAACCACTTCTGCCCTGGCGACTCCAGATAGGCACCGCTCCTCCGCCACGCTGAGCCTCATCCCGACCACCGCACGCATGTCGCCCTCACACACCGCGACGCACCGATGCTCTGGCCGTGCATGTTACAAACGCCCGTGTTCTTCCATAGCGGGTTTAACAGGATGTGCCCCACAGACCCTGCCCCTCACCGTCTTTTGCTCGCTAGCCCTGGCATGGGCGACCTGCGTCTAAGGTGAACGTGGTGGGGTGGAGACCCTGGCACGACCACGGAATCCCGGGCCCCTGGCCTTTGCCTTCGTCACAGCAAACGTGTGCACGTCCATGGAGGTGAGCAGCTCTCTGGAGACGCAGGTCATTGTGCACGCTAAGTGACCAGCCACTTACGGGGCCGTTTCCTGGCCTGCAGGTCGTTGTAAACCGGTTTGGGATCTGTTCCCTTTAACTGCATACCCTGTGCACAAGTATACAAAATAGAGGACCCGCCTCCCCAACAGAAGGTCCTGCCCCCACGGCCACCAGCTGGCCTCGCCCAGGGGGAGCCCTGACACAGCAGCCTTCAGACGTGAAAGAGGAGGGGCTGCAGCTCCTCAGGGGCTGAGGGAGGCCCGCAGAGAGCAGGGTGGCCGGGGTCTGGCCCTGGAAGGTGCTTTGCTTTCATGTCAGCTAAGCCGGGCAGCTGGGAGCAGCCTCAGTCCATCCTCCTCAGCCCCAGCTCTCCCAGTGCAAGGGCGATTCCATTTCACCGGAGTTGCACAAGAAATGCTGATTCGGAGGCAGGGGATGTGAAGTTCCAATTCTAGCAGTTCTTTTCTGCCTATGTGCATGTGCATGCATGTGTGTCTGTGTGCGTACAAGTGTGTTGGTACGCATGCATGTTCGTGCATGTGTTGTGTGCATGTGTGTACACGTGTGTGGGTGTGCATGCATGTTCGTGTGTGGGTGTGCATGCATGTTCGTGGGTGTGCGTGCATGTGTGTGGTGTGTGCACATCTGTGTGTGTGTGCATGTGCACACATGGGGGCTGGGTCTCCTGGTCTTGTGGAGCCCAGGCTAAGCCAGTGCGATGAGGTGGGGCTGCTGCTGGAGCACACGGGACAGCCGGGGAGCCTCTCCTGCCAACCTCTGAACTGCTGGTTCCGAGACTGTAACACATGGCGTCCCAGCATCCCCAGATGCTGTGTCTTCCCAGTCCACATGAAGAAACGTGCACCATTTCTGAGCAGGCCAAACCACAGGGGACAGTCTTCTCACTGTCCTGTACAATGCGCCCAGCTCCCAGAGGCCCCTGTTCTGAGGAAGGTGTGCCCACAAGGTGGCCCTTGGCCATGAGGGGTCCTCTAGGCTGTCCCCACACACTCCTTTCTGGGAGCCTGGATTGTGGCTGTGCAGGGTCGAGACTCTGGCGGGCATCCCCAAGAAGCAGCACTCCTCAGGTGTCCACCACCCACTCTTGCTGGGGAATGCCAGTGCTCCCCGACTCACTGCGTGTGCCTGTCCCCTGACTCATTCCCTGCATCCTTTCCTTGTAATAAACTGTAGCCACGGCAGGACGTGCACCCTGACCTCCCAGCAAGTCATCAGAACTGGGGTGGTGGAGGGACCCTGACACGGTTACCCTTCAAGGAAGCCCTCTGAAGTGCTCCCCATCCACAGCCTGTGGACACCTCGGCCCTTACCACCTTAGGCCATCTGTTTGGTCTCTGGCCTTCCCCTGGGATATAGCTGGGAGGGACCTGGCAGGACTCCCGGTATGCCACCCTCACTGCAGCCTCCCCCCAGCTCCAGCCCAGAGCCTTTTCTTCACGGGGTTCCAACAAGAGGCCCCATGCCTGCCCCCTTTCCTAGCGGCTCAGGACGAAGCCCTTCCAGCCTCCCCTCTCATCGCACCTGATCCCTGGCCATCCCCGCTGGAATCCTCCCCCTGCCTCAGCCAAGTCCCAGCCCTTCCTGCCCACAGGCCCGCTCTGCTCTGCCCCAAGCTCTCCCGGGCCCTCGGCTGGGGCAGAGGCTCTGGTCCCCACCGCCCTCCCTGCAGGTGACCAGCAGCCATCCTGCTGCCCCCAGGAGCACCTGGAGCTCACCTCTGCCCAGGTCCCCTAGGGCAACCCGCCTTCTCTCTGCCAGGAGCCCCCTGCTCCAGTCCTCACACCGGGGCCCCACTTCATCCAGATGGTACCTGGCGCAGGTCCTCCTGTCCACCCTGAGCCCACTCTGGGCATCTTTACCGGGTTTCGTGGGCCCTCCACAGCCGCCAAAAGGTTGCCAGCTATGGTCGCCCACAGCGTGGAGGCCTGACTCCTAAGCCAGGTGCCCGCAGGGCCATGCTCTCTACAAGGCCCACGCAGGGTCTGCCGTGCCTCTGACTTTCGGAAATGCAGCCGGTTCCTAGAGGCTGTGGCATGTGAACACATCACTCCAGGCTCTGCCGCCATTGTTGCCCTTTGTCCCCGTGCACCCGTCTTTACACTGAAATCTCCTCTTCTTACGAGGGTGCCCGCCTTTAGGTGGGGGCCCCGCCTGCGGGAACGGCCTCCTCCTCATTTGGTCATGCCAGTACAGACCCCGTTTCCAATGAGGTCAGTCACAGGTACCAGGCTTAGGGTGTGGGCATGCCGTCTCGGGGGACCTGGTTTAATCTGATCCTCCCACTGGAACGTGAGCTTCGTTAGCATAAGGGCCTCATCTTGTTCTCCACAGCAACCCGCACGCCTGGAACAGCAGTGCATAATAAGGAACCGACGTACAGTGGGTGGGTGGATGGACAGGGGGTAAATGGATGGACAGATGGGTGGAGAGATGGCTAGATGGATAGTGGTGGGTAAATGTCAGTGAGTGGGTGGATGGATGGATGGAGAGATGGATAGATACCAACAGGTAGATGTCAGTGAGTGGGTGGATGCATGGATGGAGAGATGGATTCTGGTTGGCAAATGTCAGTGAGTGGGTGGATGCATGGGTGGATGGACACAATGTGTAGATGGATGGGTGCATGGACTCTGGTGGCTGGCTGGGTGGTTGGATGGATACGTGGGTAGGTGGGTGGAGGGGGGTGGACACATGGGTGGCTAGGTGGAGGGATGGATACACGAGTGGGTGAATACACTTGGTTGGAGGGATGGATGGATAGGTGGGTAGATGGAGGAATGAATAGATACATGGGTGGGTGGAGGGATGGATACGTGAGTGGGTGGAGGGATGGATGGACACATGGGTAGGTGGAGGGAGGGATATGTGGGTGGAGGGATGGATACGTGAGTGGGTGGAGGGGCGGGTAAGTGGGGGGGGGGGGGGG